GAAGTAGTTTAATTATGTGTATTTTATCAAATTCATTATCAGCTTTTAAGGCTCTGATCATGTGTTGATTATGAGGAGAAATCATGTGATGAATTGATACCCTATGTTTTTTTATGCTGTTTATGTGAGTGTAATATTATCAATAATAGTTTGTTTAATTGCTTGAGCATCTGTTCAATATGTTTCCCCCTTGGCTGAAGGATAAGAGATTAAATGGCATTTTAAGAATATGAACTCAGTTTAGGTGCATACGTAAGAGTTATGAAACTTGAGTTATAATACATGTTTTGTTGGTATAAATAGTATTTTTAAGCATTATGGGGACTCGAAATTTTTGAATTGTGAAGCCTCGATATTTCCAAATCCGTTATGACTGAAAATATGTGATCAGAAATCATTTGCTACAATTTTTAAGTAGTCCAACATGGTGCCTACCCCCATTCTATTTAATTAATATAATTTTTAATTTGCTATTTAATTGTAGGAATGGGAGTTGCTCATACCTAATCCGAAGCCCATGCATATCAAAATTATTAATTCCAATGACAACAGCAAGGCTGATTGCGCGATAAATGACATTAAAAATTCGTTGACTGAGGGGCAGCTGGACATGTTCAAGAAAACTGTGTTTGGCAAATTCCTAAACATACCTCACTGTAAATTTCAGACTCAGTTGGTCAACATGCTATTGTTACGTGAGGTAAACCAGCGGAGGTCTGACGAGGTTTGGATCAATTTTGCTGGGAAGGTGCTCCGGTTTGGCATTGAAGAGTTTGCCTTGATTTCCGGAATGAAATGCATTGGGTCTACCAAGAAACTATCCGTCCAACAGGTGTCTGATGGTCTCTTTGATACATACTTTGCTGGGTTTCGATTGAGCAGGAACTACATACGGAGTCAATTTCTCTCCAAGGTATTTTTTACATCACATATAGTTAATATATCTATTAATGAATTAAACTACAATATAAAAATAAAACATGAATACACAAGTCACTAATTTATATTGTTTCATCAACGTTTATTTGGTGTTTATCTTATGTATATATATAAGTCAGTTTTTTCTTAATGTCATAAGCATATTTCATTTTAAAAGTATTTATAGATTGTTCATATTATGTATATATATTCACTTTTTAATGTTCATGTGATTAAGCTTATTTGCAGAATCAAAGATTTGTAATATGTTGTTTATTTTATGTATATATGTACTATACACTGTTGTGCTCCTGTTATCGTGTTAGTGCAGAATAGGAACTATGTTTATAAGCTGTTTATATTATTTATATATATATATGCAATTTACATAAATACAATTGGTAGGAAATATAATCAGAATAGGATTGATTAGTGATTTTTTTTCACAAATACGAGATTGTAATAAATAATGACATATTTTTATTCTCTCTCCATATATATATATATATATATATATATATATATATATATATGTATATATGCAATTAACCCATCAATATGTACACACTATGTTAAGGTATGGAAGAATGACGAGGATGCAGTCAAGCTTGCAAAACTGCACCTTCTAGCAAATTTTTTACTGGGTGCCCAGGACACGTTGTTGCTTGATAGACGATATTTGGACATAATTGATAGCTCCGAGTGTGATGAATTTCCATGGGGGACAGAGGTGTTTGAATACACTATCCATTATCTGAAGAAGACGTTGCACAATCGTCGGGCGATGCATACGAGAAAAGACGATGTGAATGACTATCTTTTCAGATGCTATGGATTCATCCTAGCACTACAGATTTGGTTTTTTGAGATTTGTGACACAGCTGATGGGCTGATTTGCTCACGCATAGTTGGTGAAGATATGCCACGCATGGTGAAGTGGGAGGTGAAAGGATGCTACAACAGATTATTCATTGACAGACATTTCATGAACTTGTCACATGACAAGGTATGTTTACAATTTATTTTATAATTTTTATTGTTTATTATAATAACATACTGTAAGGACGCTTTCTGATGCTTTGATAATCATTAACTTTCTCAGTTCAACAACTTGAGCCCGACAGATTTTGAAAAATCGAATCTTCACCTAGATGGGTTTTTCAAGAAAAAGAATCAATTTCTGTTAGACGACGACTCGTCATCTAATGGTCCAACGCACATCCAATCTGAGATACTTAACCGATTGGATGAGATGGGACAAAAACAGACAGAAATGGCTAACGAGATTGGAATGCTCAAGAATATGTTTATGGAGTTTTCAACGAGGAGTGCTACTGACTTTGCCATGCTCAAACAACTGATATTGGTTCTTTTTTTTTTTGTATATAAAAACTAAAATATTAACTGTAATGAAAATTTGTAATTTTCCATATTTATTCATATATTTATTTGATTTTTTTTTCTCTCCATAAATAATTTTTAAAAAGGGTGGAAATCTTGGAGCCACTGTTCCAAACGATGAAACAGGCGGTGCCACAAACATTGATGTTGATACAAGTCATCCCGATCCAAAGGTTTGTTTTAACACATTTTGCTATCTGTCATAACAGATTTGTTTTCTTTGACAGGGATAACATAATTTTTTTTTTTTTTTCACAAATTTTGGCCTTTAAATAAATTCAGGAATGTGATGTGGATGCCCAAGTTGAACAAGATACCGACGTGGGAAATAATCCCAACGGAGTATGCAATCTTAACTATCATTCTTATAAATATTATTTTGTTTACATCGTGTAATGTACTTATTTTTCCAAGTATATATGCCAGATATATACCGTTTATATAACACATATAGCTATAACTGAACATGTAGTATTTATATATCAATGTATATACAGATATTTTTTATAATGCTTATATACAATATATAAATTTAATATTATATCTGAACATGTTCATTGTTATGTCATTCTTCTATTTTTTGTTTATACATTGTTTATATAGTGTATATATACAGTAAATATGAATTATTTTTTCAATTTCATCAATAATATATTTTTTTACTTCCCATAGAATGAAGATGCAGTCAACCGGTTGAATGCTGATGATGTTGATGCCCAAGTTGGACAAGATACCGACTTGGGACATGATCCAAAAGGAGTATGTCATCTAAACTATCATTCTTATAATTATTTTTTGTTCACATACTGTATTTATGTACTTTAAGTTAACATGTACTGTTTATACAATGTATATATACTAGATATATACATTTTATATATTTTTTACATATTGTATATATGTAGTTTAAGTTAACATGTACTAGATATAATTACTTAGATATAGTGTATATATGTTGTTTAACTTAACATGTACTATTTTATGTCATTTTTCCCTTTTTTTGTTTACATATTGTTTACATAGTGTAAATCTGAAATATTTGTTCAAATTCATCGATTTTTTTTTTTTTCTGCCCATAGACTGAAGAAGCAGTCTACCAGTTGAATGCTGATGTTGATGTTGACAACTTCTCTCCCATCAACACTCAATTTCTAGCCGAAATTGATAGGGCTACTGAAGCAATAACAAAAAGTCGATCTATCGACAAGGAAAAGGTTTAAAAAAAACACATTATTTTTTTTGTGATTTAGTGCATTTATATTAAGCATATACATTTAGACAAACATATACATTGTATTAATGTCCTTCATTTAAAAACCATACATTTTTTTATATTTACTTGTAATAAATACTTCAAATTTATGCAGAAACCTGTAGGCCATGGTCTTTCACTTAATGAACGCATTGGTCTCAAATCCGAACCAGTCAAACTGTCTCAACTATCATCGCAACCATCATTTGACGCAATCACCAAAGATCTACATCCACTACAACCTTCGAGAGATGTGCACCCTACCAAGATGGTAACTGTTAGTTTTTATAATTATCCTTAAATCCATTCATAAAGGATGTTTACACTAATTAATTATAATTTATGTACTTTGTAGGAAAAAGGTGTTGTCGTACTTACTAAGAATGCCAAACCCGTTGTGTTAAACCCTGTAGTAGTCGGTTTGAAGAAACGGAATGTGGTTAAACAATCATGTCCATTTAATGTCCCGTTCTGGAAGAATGTTTTTGATGGTGAAACAGAAGATTTCTTGAGGTGGCTTAGAATGGGTCATCTTCAGACTTTTCGAAAGATTAGTGAACACGAGTAAGTTTCACATTTTTGTATACTTACTATTCATCTTACAATATAAAATACTGTTTACTAAGTATTAGTGCATTTAACAAAAAAAAAAAAAAAATAGTCTAATTATTTTTTAGATTATTTACAAATGAAAAAAAGTCTTCTGTATTCTATATTACACCTACTACACTATCAACGTTGTGAGAAATATTAAATTCTTAAAAGGACGGAGCACTACCTTAAGAAATACGGGCAACTCAAGAGACCATTCGACTTCAATGTTGCCCGTATCACTGACAAGAATTGG